AAAAAAACAAAAAACAAGGGCTGGATTGACTTTGCACCCCAGAGGCCCAAGGGAGAAAAGAACAGTTTCTTTGGGGAGCTTTTACTATATATGCTATTCACCTGGAGGTGGGGGTGTAGCTCCAAGGCAGAGTACTTGTCTAGCATACATACAGCCAAAAGAAAAATAAAACCACAAAAATTTAAAGCCAGGAGTCTGGTTCTCAGGAAGCTGTGTGGCAGCACTGCTCAGACCCCAGGGAGCTCAGGCGGTGGGGGATACTGCTGTACCAAAGCCCTGGCCCCCAAGACCTAGCAGAGCACAAGACCCCTTTACCTTCACGGCCTGATTCTTGGTGTTGACTGGAGAGTTCCGCAAGGCTGCGTGGAAGGCCCGAAGCATATCCCCTGTGCAGCAGTGCCAGTTAAGGATGACTGACCTCAAAAGCAGTCCAGGAGCTGACTAAAAAGGAATCTTATCCCTGCCACCCACCGCCCACAGCAGCCCTCCTCACCATGGGCACCACCGGCTCATAGCCTGCTGCTTTCCTGAGCCACAGGCAGGGTGCAAGGCACCTCTGGTGGCCTTTCCTTCTGCTGAAGGAAGGTTCCCCCTCAAATTGCCCTTGCCGAGGGAGCCTGCTGTATTCACGGTGCTGGGCACTCTTCCTACCTTCCTGGATCCTCAGCCACTGTGCACGCAAACCAGAAGTTGCTCTCATCCTCTCAAAGGGAAAGATGGAGGCCCAAAGAGGTCTAACTCTTCAATCATGCTTAGAAGATAAATTACTAAAGAAATTAAGATATGCTAAGATGTCTACCTCCTAGGTCAAGGAAGTCCCAAACACTACAAGAATGTGTCGCCAGGGACTCTGCTTTCCCATCCCCAAACCTTAACTGAACCCTAACATCACACTCTTTGTCCAGTTCTAAATACCCAGCACACAAAGAAAATTACAATCTGGGTTAGGTCCCCAAAGGTGACACCTATTTTAAACTGAATTACATCAGCCGACTTTCATTTCCTCATGTGAAACACTGGCTTCAGCCAAAAAGCTTCAAAAATAGAACAAGGAATGGTTCTGCCCAATCAGATCTTTACTCCTGTTCATGTAGCCAGCCCCATGTGTGAGCAGACAGAGCCCCTGGTGCAAAGCGAATTCCCAGCTGCCTGAGTGGGGGCTCCATTTGAGAGCAGGGTCCGCCACCAAGCGAGCCACTCTCAGCACCCTGCCTGGATCTGATCCACCTTCTGTGGGAAAGGCAGCCCCATCAGGGCCAGTCCTGAAACCAGGCACTGGTAACCACTACCTCAACTCTCTTTGAATGTGTCCTCAGAGCAAAAGCAGGCTCCCAGGAGCTTACCAGCAAATGTAGGCTAGCACCCTCTTCACTGCTGCCTGGCACAGTCAGCAAGCACAATCACCCAGAAGGCGGATGTGAGGAGGAGCAGGATGGCCCAACCTGCGCGGTGCCCAAGTTGAGTTAACTCCCTGCAGCACCAGTCACTAAGCAGGCACTGCCAGGAAGTCTGAGGGGCAAGCAGACTATTCTTGCAATAACTGATCACTTTTTCCTAGCAGCTCAGGCCCTTGCAGCAGACAGGCCGTGACAGCTGGGAGACCCTGCTTTTTGACAGGGCACTACGGACCTTGTAGATGGGATGAATCCCTGATGTGGGCTCTGCCCTGTGCTTTGTAGGCTGCTTGGCCTCTACCCACAAGATTCCAACAGCACCCTCAAGCTGTGACAATCATGTCCCCCAACAGTGCCAAATTTCCTGGGGATCAAGGGGAGTGCTAAAGCACTCAATACTACTGCTCTAGACTGACTCCTGCTCCAAGGAGCAGACGCTGCTTCATTGATGAAGAAAAGAACAAGTAATACTTTACAACTGCCACAGGTCTCGGACCTTCAGCAAAGTACGTTCACACATCTCATCCCAAAAACCATGGCAACAATCATTATTCCATTTTAAAGACTGAAACGAAGGGTCTGAGAAAAACAATTACCTGCCCAAGGTCACAAAGCTGAAGTGTCAGCTGGCTCAAGCTCTTTCTGTAATCCTTCACTGCTGCTCTACCCCAGACCCACATTGCGGGCTCAGACACCTGCTGTATGTGCCTAGAGATGCTCTTGTGGAACTGGGGAGGCCAGTGTGTTGTCCTTCATTTCACAGAGGACCACGTGGAGGGAGAGAGGGTATGTGACCTACAGAAAGTCACAGTTAAAGCAGGAACAGAGCAGGCTGTGTCAATACAGAGCTCATGGTCTTACTTCCTGTGTGATCTCCCACCACTGACACATTTCCCACACAGCCCTAAGACTTCCACCAGCACTGTTCCTGCATGGATCAATCCTCCCTAGTCTCCTCTCCCAAGACTCCCAGACTCTGCAGTTTAGATTGAAACACCTAATACAGGTCAGGCATGGTGGCACACACCAGTAATCCCCACTCAAGAGGCTGAGGCAGGAAGATTGCTGAGTTTGAAGCCACCCTGGGCTACATAGTTCAAGGCTAGCCTCAGCTACCTTGCAAGACCCTGTTTCAAAAACAAACAGCTGAAGAGATAGTTCAGAGGCATAGCACTTGCCTGGCAAGGGCAAGGTCCTGAGTTTGATTCCTAGTACCAAATAAAACAAGCAAGCAAGCACCTAATGTGAGTCCAAGGGTTGGCACATGGTTGGCTTTCAAATATTCCTTCCTTCTATCTAGAACCCACACTTACCAGGATTTTACTTCTCATCCGCCACCCTCCCTTCCCCAATCCCAAGAGGTACTCGCCATGGTAACAGGCTTCTGACAATAGTGGCACAGCTACCATCCCCTGAGCTTTTCTAAGGAGTCTAAGACACCTGACTATGACTAGCTGGTGGCTCGTGGATACATGACCTTCAACAAGTCCCTGCAGCAGTTAAGACCAAGTCACCAGCTGGCCAGGCCATGGTCTCTTCTGTTGAATGAGGGTTCTGGGCCAAAGAGCCATGCATGGAGCTTTTTCAGCACCTAGTGCCCAAGAGTCAAGCCCTGTGCCAGAGGAGAGAACTGATGTTCCCTTCAGAGGTCCCTTCTCATGACCCCATTTCATCAGTACTGTAGGTGAGCAATCTGGATGGGGCAGGAAATTCAAGTTTAAATCTCCACCTTTGAAAGCACATTCCTGTTCAAACAAAGTCTGCAGCTATTTGCTTTAAAGGCATATTGGAGGAGCACCGCAGGCCTCCTCCCAAAAGCAGTGGGCCTGACTTCCCAAGTGAGTCAACTGACTAAACACCCAAACCTGATTTATATACAGCAGGGCCTCCACCCCTGCCCTGGCAAGCGAGGGGTTGGGGGGGTGGGGGAGGACCACACTTCCTGTACACCATTTGAATAAAGAAAAATTCTTCCTGTGAGAATAAGTCAGTTTCCTGTGCACAAAGTGTGAAGGAGCCAAGCTGTGACAATCACCTCTATTTTTAATCTTCTCTACTAAATGCTGGCTTTCTGTGGTCACAAGAACAATCATTTCCAGTCTTGGGGTTCTACTTTTTACACTTCACACTATAGTTTTCTTAGCTCAAACTGCTAGTATTTTATTCTGCTTCGTGTAGAAGGGCAGTACCGTACCCAGGCAGCCACAACTCACTTGTTGAGCGGGGCTGAGACCACGACGCTCCAAAGCCCAAGGTATTAAGCAAAGTGAGAACAGCTGAGGGGGGCGGCGTCAGCCGGGCCCTGGGAAGGGAGTCGCAGTCCCAGACCCCTTGGGCTGCAGCAACGGCGCCGCCTTCATGTCCCCCTGGGGCTCCTTTCCCCTCAGCCATCCACCCACCTACTCTCGGAGGTCTGCCGTAGACCCCAGGAGAGCAGCGGGGCAGCCCCGAGTGGACTGTGCCCTCCCGCCGACCAGCCAGCGGGAACAGCCCCATCTCCCCCAGGAGGGACAGGACGATGGGCGCCCTCGGCAGAGGCCGCCTGGGCAGCCGGGGAGGCCAGAGGGAGGGAGCGCTGAGAGCCGCCCACCAGATCCAGGGCCGGGTGGGGGCGGGTGGGGGGAACTGGAGACCCGCAGAGGGGAGCCGAGCGCGGGGAGCCGGCCTGCGGGGCTCGGGGAAGGGGAGCGAGGGGGCCGGGCCGCGGTGCCGAGCCGGGCACGAGGAGGGTGAGCAGCCGGGCCGAGCCGGGCCGGGCCGCCGCGCAGGGAAGGATATTGCCGCAGGAGCCCGTCCACCTCGCCGGGGTCCGGGCCTGGCTCTCCCGCTGCCGCCGCCGCCTCCTCCTGCTCGTCCACGAATTTGTTCTCATCAAACTCATCGATGTCCACCCGGCGGAAGCGCGAGGACAGCGTGTTACGGGCCATGGCGGGAGCTCGGCGCCCGCTCAGCCGGCTCCGCTTCGGGACCGACCTCCCCTAGCTCCGCTCACCACCCGTCTGGGCTCTGCCTCCGGGTCCGGCTCCGGCTCCGGCTCCGGCTCGGGGGCGGGAAGCGGCCGCCAGGCACCTCCTCCACCTCCGCGCGCAGCCTCCGCCGCCCGCCCACTTCCCGTCGACGCCGGAAGCGGAAGCGCGGAACAGGCCCGTAGGGGGCGTGCCGGCACGGGGGCGGGGCGTCGGAGGGCCGCCGCGGTGGTTTCCAAGGCAACTGTGGTCAGCGTCTTCGCTTTGGGCTGGTGGGCGCCCAGCCAGCGCAGGCCTGGCATCGTGGGCGCCGTAACTCCGCTCATTCTCTGGCTTCCTCCCTGCCCCCGAGGACTTTGGCCCACCGAGGAGCCAGCACCGACACAGATGCCGACTCCGGGGTGATCGTTGCCCAGACAGGCCCCCGGACCCCCAGAAGGCGGCCAGATCCGCCTCTCGAGCACCGGCCAGGTTTCTTGAAACCTTCGCGCTAAGCCAATGACCAGAGGGACATGCCGAAGCCTTGGCCCCACACTGAGCCTGGAGCTGCCTGCGCAATGATGCAGGAGTGACCTTGTAAGAGGAATGGGGAGACGCTAACAACATTCAGTGTATCCGTCCAGGACAGTGACAAGACGCTAAAGAATTACTGTTTGCTACTTGGGATTGAGCCCTGGGCCTTCCCTCTGAGCCACACGCATCCCTTTTTAGACAAGGGTTCACTAAATTAATTGTTACGATTTGTGTATAGGTGTGCCCGCAAAGCCTCAGGCAGTTATGGGGCTGCTTTTGGAGTGATTGATTATTGTGGGTGTGGATACTGCACCTGCCCTGGGGCAGGGAATTTGCATTTCATTGTAAGGTGGGAAGAGAAGTTAACTGCTTGAGCTGCTGCTACTTCTTTTTTGCTCTTGCTCTTTGCCTCCACCATGAAAGGTTGCCCTCTGCCATGTGCCACTCTGCTTTGGAGCCAGCTGAATATGGACTGAAACCTCCAGTAACTGTGAGCTAAATAAACCTTTCCTTCCCTAATTTTGGGTGTCCGGTATTTGTCCCAGCAATGAGAGATGAGAAACTAAGACATCAATGGTCCTGCCGCCTCAACCTACCAAAGTGCTGAGGTTCCATGCCTGTGCTAATATGTCCAGCGCTGAAGACCTTTTGAGGACGTAGGGCCCTGCTTGTGGAGCACTCACTTTGGCTTGGGGGTGGGGGGCAGGATCAGAACAGGACTGTGTGGCCACCATACCCACAGGAAGTGGACAGTCCCGGATGCCAAGAAGTCAGGCCTTGCCAGGGAGATGGTTCAGTGGCATAAGTGCTTTCCTGGCAAGGGCAAGGGCCTGAGTTCAATACCCGGCTCCAAAAAAAAAAAACAAAAAAAAAAAAGCTAAAATAGGTCTACTCAGATGATGGTATAGGGAAACTATTTTCATTACTTTTCCCCTTGATGGTCTTTTTAGTTAAAAATAATAATTGAAACATGACTTGTCCTTATTGCTTTGCATACCTCTCCTTGAAATGTCTGTAGAACAGATAATACTGCCAGAGTGATGAAACCCAACCTACATGCTAAAAACACTGACTCCTGAGCTTGTCAAGGTGACACAGGCCTGTAATCTCGACACTAGTAGGCTGAGCCCAGAGTATCACAAATTCAATCCCAGCCCAGGCAATTTAACAAGACATTGTCAGAAAGGGAAGGAAAAAAAAAAAAATAAAAAGGAAGGGAGGGAAGGAGGATGAAAGAAAGAATAATTACTGGTACTACAACTCAGTACAAAAAGAAAAAAAAAAAGATACAGACTCCCATAGCGGTAAATAGGTGTCAAATAAAGTTTCAGGTCCCAGAAACAATGCAATCCACCTACATTTTGTCTTCCCAAAGATTTTGGGAAGAAATCTTTGGACTCAGGAGGCAGGCCACAAAGTCAGCAGACATTCATATCCCCAGAACATACTGATCAGAAGGAATTTGAAGCCATGACTGGTAGCACAGAGCTATAAACCCGGCACTCAGCAGGCTGAGGCAGGAAAAGCGAAGTGAATGAGATGAAGGTCAACCTAAACTACCTGTCTCAAAAAATAAAAGGCCAGTGAGATAGCTCAGCTGACTAAACACCTGCTGGGGCAAGTGCAGCACCAGCCTGGTGTCCCCAAGGTGCCGCCCCACAAGTCAGGGTATGGAGGCCCATGCCTGCAATCCCAGCACTGGGGAGGCTGAAAACAGGAGGATCACTAGAGTCCGAGCTGCATAGTGAGACCCTGTACCAAACACATTAAAAAAAAAAAAAAGATAATAACAAAGCAAAAAAGCCAAAATTGCTAATTCTACACTTATGGAAGCAGCCCCAGTTAAAGTAGTGAGTAATAAAGTGGTAAATAACTTTCCATTCCAGTGAAGAAGGCAAAATATAAAAATGAGTATTAGGCCAGGGAAATAGCTCAGCAGTATAAGCACCTGCCTGCCTGGCAAGGTTAAGGTTTTCCCTAGTACCTAAAAAAAATCAGTATTAGAGCTATATTGTTATATTGTAGACAGTATATGATCTACATACGCCTGTAACATAGCACTCTGGGAGGCTGGGACAGGGCATCATGAATTCAAACCCTGCTTGGGTAACTTGGTGCTTCTCAAAACCCTGTCCGAATGGGGAAGGGGCCGCTTAGGGCAATGGCCCTGGGTCCTGTCTCCAGCATCAAAAATAAATTATTTTTTAGTATTTTAGGGAAGGGTTCACAAGGTGTTCAGGGTCTCCCTACTAGATCGGACTAGTAGTGATCCACCTGTTTACAGCCTCACAAGAGGTGGGATTACACCAAGCCCAATCTCAACAGTGTGCCCCAGGGACAGAGAAAAATAAATTTTAAAAAGCCATTTTATATTATCAGGGATGATTGAGTGTTGAAAGAAAAAAAAATCATCCAGTGTGTGACAGTTTCTTAGCTAAAGGAAAAAAACAAAATCATAACTCAGATGGACAGGCTTGGAAGTTCTGAGTGCAGCTGAGAATGAATGACTTGATCTCACTTCTGGCTTGTGTTGAAAAAGGGGCCATTTTGCTGAGCATAGTGTACAGTCCCAGCTTCTCAGGAGGCAGAGACAGGAGGATCACAAATTCAAGGGAGGGGGTGGAGAGATGGCTCAGTAGAAGAATAAGCACTTGCCTGGTAAGCAGAAGGGCCTGAGTTCAATCCCCGGTTTTGGGAAAAAAAAAAAAAAAAATCAAGGCCATCCTGGACAACTTAGCAAACCTAGTGCCCGCAGAATTTAAAGAGCTCGGGCCCGGTTTAAAGAGTTCAGGCCCCAGTTCAGCAAAAATGTAAAGATGAATTTTCTTGCAGCTGTACTGAAAACACATGGGAGCAAGAACCAAAACCTGGTCAGGTGTGATAAGCACAGGCCTGTAATCCTGACATTCTGGAAGTCTGAGTCAGAAAGATCATGAGTTCAAGCCCAGCTTGGGCAATCTAGTGATTCAGAAGAGAGACCCTGACTCAAAAAAAAAAAAGGGGGGGGGTCAAGGTGCCACCCACTGAAAAAGTGCTCCAGGGGCTGGGGAGATGGCTCAGTAGAATAATCGCTTGCCTGGCAAGCACAAGGGCCTGAGTTCAATCCC